AGCATTTGGTACCAAGAGTGGGGTGCTGCTCTAACAAATACATAGAATATATAGAAGTGGTTTTGAAATTGGGTAATGGTAGAGGCTGGAAGAGCTTTAATGTGCTTAATAGTAAAAACCTAGATTGTTTTGAAGAGATGTTAGTAGAATTATGGATGTCAAAGGCAATTCTGGTGAGGGCTCAAGAGGAAGTCAGGAGAGAGAGAAAGAAAGTCTCCTGGCTTAGAGAATATACATGGCATCAACAACAGAATGTTGCTAGAAATGTGAATATTAAATGTGCTTCTGGTGAGGCTTTAAAAGAAAATGATGAACATGTGACTGGACAATGAAGGAAGGACAGTGCTTTGTATACAATGATAAAGAATTTGTCTGAATTATATTCAAATGTTTGGTGGAAGGTAGAATTTGCAAGTGATTAACTTTGATATCTGGCTGATGAAATTTCTAAGCAAGATTTTAAAGGGATTATGTGGTTTCTTCTTGACACTTACAGTAAAATGCAAGAGGAAAGAGGGACTTAAAAATGATCTGTGCAAAATAAAAGCAGAGCTTAAAGATTTGGAAAATTTTGCTGTATAAACTAAGGACACATGTCCTAGAATTTTGACTAAGGACTTGGCTACACAATCTTTTGTTCAGAGATTAAGCCTGTGACTAATGGGTCTAACCAACAACTACAGCAGAAAATCCATCAGCTTAGACTGAAGAAATCAGAGAAAGGATGAAAGGAAAGAAAACTATCTGCCTCTAATTCTAAGGCAGGAAACAGGCCAAAGGAGGTACATCTTTTGTCCACCAAGAAAAGAAAAGGATCATTCCTGGAGCAGCTCAGAGATCATCAGAACTTTTGTAAAGAGGTTGGGAAGCAGGGCCTTCTCAGTTTCAAAGGGTGGGGCCACAGTCTTCTAGGTTTGTTTGACAATTTGGTTCCAGAGTGTGGGGCCACATTCTCCTAGGTTTCAAAGGATTGGATCTTTGCCAATTTGGTTCCGGAGTGTGGGGCTTCTGTTAAGGTGTTCCAGAGGGATGCGGCCACCACCCAAAGCTAAGGAGAGGAACTGCCATGCCTAAGGGACAGAAGAATGGGGCCTGCTGGGGTTGAGAGGATGGAGTTGCCATTCAGATGGACTAGGAGAATGGAGCCTCCCATAGCCAAAGGAGCAGAGTTGCCTTCCCAGTGGGCCTGAAAGGTAAAGCTAACACCCAAGGCTGAGAAGTCTCCACCTAGAATCCAGAGAGCATGGTCAACACTCAGAGTCTGCAGGATGGGGCCCTTGCTTGGATGGTCATTTTCAGGCCTTGAGAGCAAATGTAGTTTGTTCTGCTGC